GGAGAGCGAAGATGAAGATAAAATCCTCATCAGTAAAAGGCTGCATCAGGTCAGTGATTGATTATTTCTTTTTAACCAAATATCCAAACAGAATCAGCCGGATGTTTCTGATCCAACCAGACGGCCTGATGAAGCTCTTCCTCCTCTTCATCACAGCTAGTCAAACCCTGAAGGCAGATCCCTCTGCAGCTCAGCTACCAGACTCAACAGTTTAGCATCATATCTCATCTCCACATTGTTTAATATAAATAAAAAATAAAACGTGGTTTAAAAACCTACTGGATGTTAGGTTTGGGGTAAAAATCCACCCACCGTGGTCACGGCGCCACAAGCAGACGTCTGGCGGAGATTAGCTGCGGAGCTTTGTGTTTATATCTGCTCTGAAGCAAACTGGAAGAAATACTTCCAGGTGCTTCATCCAAAAAGTCTCTGGTACTGTGTTGATTAGCGACACCAGAAACAGGTTCCTGTTAAAAGTAACTTTTTAGTTACCGATGAGGCCGACATTTACAAAACAGTAAGAAATGTGTTACACTGATAATTGTACAAAAATGGATGCAGGAAAAAGCCTTAAACTATCTGCCTTCCATGAAAAGTCTATGCTGGACGGCGTCCAGAGGTCCTGCGGCGAGTCTGAGTATCAGAGCGGCCCGTCCGAGCGCTGGGAGCATCCAGCGTTCGGCCCTGGAGTTGGGAAAGTTTAACTTTTACCGCTGGACACCCGGTGTTTCAGTATTTTTAGGGAGACAGACTCTACCTGCTGCCATCGCTTCTGCACATGAAAAATAAATAAATATCAAGGAGTTAAAAACCAAAGGTTTAAAAAAACGAGTCGAATGGATTATTATGTAGAAGCTCTGATCATTATTGCTGCACTAAAACGTTTTTATGAACTATGGAGAAACAGTTTATAAATACCCAAATGAACTAAAAATGTTAAAACCTGCCGATGAAAAATATTCATTTATATATTCTGGTTCTTATGGAAGAGGATTAGGGCCACTAAAAAAAAGTTAACTGATTTTTAAATTTTATTTCAGTTTAATATGGGAAAAAAGAATTCTGACTTTTTCCTCAGAATTCTGACAGCTAACAAACATGTTAGCATCGAGCCGTAGCCATGTCTGTTTTAGAGACTAGCTCTCTTGTTTTAATCACCTTCTGCTCCTCTAATAATGAGTGGTGCCCATCTACATTAAGATCCAAAATTCTGAGATTAAAGTCAGAATTCAGATTTTTTTTTTTCCATGTTAAACTGAAATAAAATTTAAAAATCAGTTAACTTTTTTTTTTTTCCAGTGGCCCTAATCCTCTTCTGTAGGTTCTTGCAGTTTTCTACCACAAACCTTACAAACTGTTTGTATTCACTTCCAGCTGCTATGAACGGCAGCAGGAAATCCCCCACAGGCCGAGAGCTTTCAGCGGGGTTCCAGCGCTGCCTCCCGGCGGTAAGCTGGAGGTCTGACACTCCGAAAAAGAACTGTAAATATTATTGGGTTCATGAATTGATGAACTGACTGCACTGATCATCTTTGGAGGTGCATTTTGTCACTTAAAAACTTCACCACAGTTTGGTTCAAATTTCGGCAGGCGGTTTCCATGGAGATGATAATGGTTGGATCATAACGAAGAACAGAACACATAGAATCCTTATTGATGAGCTTTAATCATCAATGTTGTTTTTATAGTTATTTGATCCACAAACAGTTTTGTCGATCAGAGTTTTCAGCTCATTCTAACCTTGAATGATGCTGCAGGCGTTTCCAGAGTGATCAAACATGAAGGAAAAGCTCTGTAGTTATTCATCCTTCCCCATCGTCTTCTCTTTGTTCTTCCAGAGGCAGGTGGCGCTGTTCAGACAGCTGCAGGCCCAGCTGAAGAAGGAGCGGGCAGAGAACCTGACCCTGGAGGCCCGGGTCAGAGAGGAGATCAGCAAAGAGTTCTCCCAGCTTTTCTCCAACATGCAGAATGACTACGAGTGAGTCGCTCCCCGTTCTCCTTTTCTTTGAAGCCTTTTAAAAGCCTGTGATCAGCGGGCCTCTCAGAGGTTCTGTTTGTCCTGTGGGGAGGAGAGCTGAACTGCTGGTGTCTGTCCGCCTCAGTGAGCGCCTGAACAGAGAGAGGGAGATCCTGGAGGAGCGAGCTGAAAGGAGGCTGGAGATCTTCAGGAATCTGACTGAGAAGATGTCCTCGGCTGCATGCAGCTCAGATGGACACATGGTGAGGTCATCTGGGGCCGTGGGAAACAGGGCTGGGCCATATGAAGAAAATCCAATATCAAGAGGCCTATACTGCGATATACATCATGGTATTTTTAAATTACCTTCATAAACAATATAGTGCATTAAATTGCATCGATATTCAAACATTTGGTTTCAGCTTTAATCTAATTTTAATTTAACCAGCTGAAAGCTCTTCTGCCACATCATGTCTCTGGTTGTCGGTATGAGACCTTAAACAGGATCCCTGCAAACAAACAGGAAACAAGGCAAAAATAAACAATACTGAATAAAATATAAAACTTATCAAGGGCTCCTTAGTGCAGAATAAAACAAAGTGGAATGAAAAAAGAAATTGACCTAAAATTGCAAGAAAGATTAGAGCATCATCAGAGCATCTATCAGCACTGATCTTTACCTGCTGGGGATTTTAAAGAAGCACAAAAAGTTATAAAATTATGATAATAATAAGTTAAGAGAACGCCTGAAAAACTTCTGAACATCAGATCACAGCTATTAGAGAATCTAAACATTTAAATAACGTCATAAACGGCGCCTGTGACTTCCCTCTTCCTCTCATATTGGATCGATTTTTTTCAAAGGACAAGGCCAACGCCATCGGCTTCACAGCTGATTTATTTAACGTTTTAATTGGTGTCCAGGGAGACGCTGACATGCAGAGTTTACAACATTCTTCATTTTGCAGCGGATGACTTTTTGAGTGATTTCTTACCGCTGCCTTTTGCTGCAATGGCTTTTGCGGCACGTCTTACAAATTAGCCTCTTTTGTTTGACGTCCTCGAACTTATATCGCTCTGTTGGAACACCTGCTGTCGCCATATTTAGTTTGCAGGTTGCTGTAGTGTGCAAGAAAATAATCCTGTTTGGAGGAGGGGTTTATGATGCATTCAAAGTGTGCGGGGAAAAATAAAACTCAGTGAAATGGTTGCAGACGAGTTAATGTCTGTAGTGGGGAAAAATGTAATCAACTATTCACCCCAGTTAAATAAATGGAAATGGATGGATTTCACTCAGTCAGCACTTTATTTTCATATCAGTGCAAAGAGAGAACAGTTCATCAATCGGCCCTTATGGCACGGTAATCAGCCCTGTTCTGATCTAACCAGAGTTTGCCTCCCTTACTTATAATGAGGAAAAAGCTGTGAAGGTTGTGTCAGAGTCAAAATAAACACTTTGGTTAATCAATGACAGTTCTCAAGAGAGAATCTCGCTCGTTATGGAATAAGTATTCCTTGTATGCAAAACAATTCTCACTCAGACATTTTGTGGCCTTGCAGGTGAAACAAGAAAAATCTAAATCTTCTGACCACAAAGTCGTTATGTGAATTTGTACTCCATAGATGCAATAAGGCTCGGGCACATGACGTCACACGTTGCGCGG